GTGCCCAGACCCATGGGGTAATCAGGCTGTCAGGGTCACAGATGGTGCAGCCAGCATGAAGGTACCTAAGACAGACTTCACCCAGGGGGCAGAGAGGGCTTCCCAAGGGCAGTGATGTCTGAGCCAAGTCCAGAGTGAGCCAGGTGCCTGAGTAGAGGAGGTGACTCCCAGTTACATGATTGGTGACTGAAAAGCAAAGAGATATCAAGGCCCAGATATTCTGACCCTACATGACCATGCAACCCAACCTGCCAACCCAGACTACTTGGACTTTACTCCTTAGATAAGAGAGGAGCCCAAGGAGTGTTCTAGGGATAGAGAGTGGCATGAAAAGGGGGCACCAGGTGAGTGACCAGTCAACTCAAGAGTCCCAGCCAGGGATGATGTGGGAGTGACATGGGACCAGGACTCAGAGCTTCGGGAAGAAAGGGATCCAACAGGCAGAGTGAGTGGATGTGGTGCCACTTCCAGTGACTAAAGCAGTGAGAGCTTCGGGAAGAAAGGGATCCAACAGGCAGAGTGAGTGGATGTGGTGCCACTTCCAGTGACTCGGACCCAAGTGACTATGGAGGTTTTTGAGGGGATGGCAAAGATTTCTGTTTGGACAAGACATGTGTCCCTGGGATACCAGGGAACTGAGGAGGTAGCTGGATATTTGAGCCCAAAGTGTAACAGAAAGGATGGGCAGTGGGCAAACAGGAGCCACAACATCCACAGGCTCCTGGGAGCCCAGAAGAGGAAGAGCACAGGGATGCTGGGGGCCTGGATGTGGCAGCCCCATCACAGGAAACAAGAAGGTATCTGTGGTGGAGAAGAGGAGGGACAGCCAGGGAGGAAGGAAGAAATGCAGTGAGATGGTAAGAAAGCCAGGAGGGAAGTCAATCAAGAAGGTAGTGTGTCCAAAGGCAGCCTGGGGTCAAGGAAAAGAAGGTCAAAGTGAGATGGAAATCACACCCCATCGCATTTTGCCAAAAAGATGCCGCTAGTGGTGGCTGTAGAAATGGAACCAGAAGCATGGGATAGGGGTGGGGGCAGGAGACAGCCTGAGGAGAAGCTGACAGAAATTTCAGGCAGGTGGTTTGGGCTGCAGGGTGCTTCACCAGCCGCCCAGATTCTGGTCAAGTAAGGAGAGCGAGAGACAGAGGTCTGAGTTTTTCCAGATGGAAGACTTAGGACCGCACTGACAGCTTGCAAAAAAACTGGATGACAAGGTGCGGGAACCATCTGCAGGGTGGGACCCTGAGAATGTGACAGAGGACAGGACACAGAGCCTGAAGACAGTATGGCCTTGGAGAGGAGGCAACCCCTCAACTTCTGACTCAGAAGGGTGAAGAGAGGCCAGACCCATCCAGAAGACCACTGGAGAAGGGTTGGGCTATGCTGGAGCCCCACAGTAGGAAGGGCACCCCTAAAACATAAAGCAAATCAACAAGGGGAGAGAATCAGTCAGTCCAGATGGAACCTTCATCTCCACTGTCACTGGGGCCAGCTCAGCTTTGGGGTCTCCATTCCTACCCCCTCTGCTCTGGCCCAACAGGTTCCACAGGTCCAGGCAGGGGCCTGGAAGAAAAGGCTAATGGTGAAATCATTTTCCCAGGAATGTAGGTCTTGAGGGGTGGAATGCCTGTCGCTGCATGTTGCCTCGCATGCCCCCTACCCCTCAAGATACCCCCAGGAGACAAAACAGGAAGTAGGCCCCACATCTCTCCATTAATGAGATTCCTGCAAAGGGGTCTCTAGCACAGGGCACAGAGAAAGAATCTGGGTTAACTCAGGCTGGGAGAACAGCAGCAGCTGGGGTGTGGGGCTGAGTCTGCACTCTCACATTCCCCTGCCTCTCACCCACCCCAGTTCCATACTCCAGCCTCTCCTCACCTGCCCACGCCTCAGACCAAGCGGCTACTGTGAGCCCATCTTTGAACCTATCATCACACAGATGGGAAACCAACCTAAAGCAGGGCAGGATGCCCTCAAACTCACACTGGCTGAAGGCAGTGACTACTTCAAGATTTGAGGATAGAAGTCTTCCTCCCCAATCCAGAACTCTACCTACAAAGTGCTCTGGGCTTCCAGAGTGCAGAGAGGATAACACAAGACTTGGCTCCCAGGACCTGCATCGGGGTGAGACCTGGCCCCATAGGCCCTGTCCTAGTCAGGGAAGAAGAGACAACCTAGCAGGATCTTCACAGAATTCGAGCACTGACACCAAAGGGCCAAGCGGCTAGATCAGAGCCAGTTCAGGGTCCAAATTCATTCCTGGGGCATCTGTCCTCTTTGGGTGGGAGCAATCTGCCCTAGCCATGAGTGAGGGAACCAAGGAAGACCCCCTGTGTGCTTGCGCCAGGGAAGAAGTCAGTGCAGAGCCATAGGGCTGGGGACAGGTCCTGTTGAGCACCCTAAGATTCCCCATGTCACTCTTTAAGGAAGAAGGAGGTGCCCTGTGAGGAAGCCCAGGCATGGGAATTCAGGAGGAGAGGCAGAGATGAGATAAATCCAATTTCAGGGACTCTGAGAGATAGGACCCTCTTACTGGGGAGGTTTTTAAACATTTTGCAGGAGAAGAAATAATATTTCAGGCCTTCTCAGTGCTACCTGGTCCATGTGGGCTCCCAGGCCAGGCAGCACCCCATACTAAACCTATCAACCTCACTGCCCCCACCCGCATCCACTCACACCACAGTTTTAAAACACTCATTTAAGACTTCTCCCAAAGCATTAAACTCTGTTATCACACAGTGTGTCTGGGAAAGGAAGGCAGATAAGGGAGTCTGGTTTCTTTCATGATCAGGCCTCTGACACCCGGCTCCTGGCACTTGTTCGTAAGAGGTTACTTTACTGGCCACTTTGGCCATGGGGACCCAGTGGCTCCAGCTTAACTGAGGATGACATTTCCAGGAAACAACACTGGGCCAGCCTCCTGGGACCTGGGCCTGGCCTCGGGCTGTCATCATCTACCCAGACCCCCAGCGAGCTCCTGGCTCCCTAGTCGTGGCCAGACCACAGCAGTGGCTTCTGGGACACTTTTGTTAACCAGATCTACTGGCTGCCAACTACCTTGCCTACTTAATACAGGGTGCCCGACAGAGCCAGTCCAATTTTTCTTAGTCCAGCTATAGAGAAACTGAGGCCCAGCTGGGAGGAAATGCCCCTAAGGCTTCCGAGCAAGTGTTCCAGAAGTACCTCCTATTTGCTCCAGGGTCTCTGGCTTCCTGCAGCAAGTCTATCCTAATTACTCCCACCAAAATACCCTGTCCTCCTCCTCCAGCTTCCCTGCCCATCCCTCTGTCTGTCTGTCATTCAACCCCCGTGTCAGTCTGTGCTGTAGCAAGGTCAAGGTTTGTGCACTCAGAAATAGGTTACCTGACCAACAACTTTCTCAATGAGTTCAGGGCACAATTATAAGCTGAGTTTAACCTACCTCCAACTCCTACACTCCCCAGGGGAAGGGTTCCTATATCTCACTGCTCATGACAGAGGGGCACTGTAACACCAGCCTCTACCAGGCCTGGCCACAAATCAAGTAGCACAGCCACCGCTGGCTCCTGTGCATGGGATGAGACCCTCACCCCCAGACCCTGCCACAGACAGACAAGCAGCAGCCCAGCACCCAGCTGTGATTCTGTCCATGGTCCACACTCATTTTGTTGTTTAGTTATTTGAGACAGGGTCTCACTATGCAATTCAGACTGGCCTCAAACTATGCAATCCTCCTGCCTCAGCCTTTCAAGTGCTAAGATTACAGGCATATGCCACCATGCCCAGCCCATACTCCAGCCTTTCCCTAAAACCCCAAGTCCTTGTTTATGACCAAGTAACTGATCAGAGGCCACTTGCTGGTCACAGCATGGGAGCTGGAAGGTGTGCATGGCTCTGCACAGTGCCCCTCATCACCAGAAACTGGCTCAGAGCCTAGGTTGAAGCTCGTGAGCTACAAGAGAATGAGATTGTACCTCTGGGGTCAGGTGCGGGGAGCCAGGGCTCCAGGGCTGGGCAGCCTCTGCCCCAGCTGGACACGGGCCATCCTCCACCCACTGTGTTTGGCTATGCTTGCTGATCATTGCCTGGGTCCTTCCTGAAGTCCATCACCTACTCCCCAGCAGGGTCTCCATCCTCAACCCCAACAGGCTGCAGCATCCCTCTTCTTCCAGAACTTTCCCCTCTGCATTTTTTTTTTTTTGGTTTGGTTGGTTGGTTTGTTTGAGACAGTCTCATTATGTAGTCCAGGCTGGCCTTAAACTCACTATGAAGCCCAGGCTGGCCTCAAATTCATGGAGATCCTCCTGCCTTATCCTCTCAAGTGCTGGTATTACAGGTGTGCACCTCCACCTTTCCTCTCTACATTTCTAAGCGTGGGCACTCCAGGTCCTCCTTGCTCTCTTGAAGTTCCTTGGTCTGCCTGTGCTCCCTTCAAACTCCTCTGCCTCTGCGCAGGGTTCCTTCTACTGTTGCCTGATGATCACACCTACTCTATGATCCTGACCACCAGCTCTGCCCCGGTCACCTCTGAACCACCAGCCTTAACCGCTGTCTGGAGCACCAGACAATGAATCCGCCTGCTCTTTCACAGCTTCACCTGCAAACTCCATAGTCCCCTCACTGTCAGCACACCCCACCCCGATCAGCGATCTAGTAGTCTCCCAAGGCAGGGTTCTTCACTGCCTCCATTCTCACATGCTAAGACTCCCTGGCCTGCTGAGTCCATTCACACACCACTGCCCCAGCTCAGACCCATCCTGTCTCCTTGGACCACGACAGTCAAGTTACTCATCGTCTTACCCTAACCCTCAGCTCCACTCACCTGCTAATGGCTGGCCAACACTGAGGGATTCAAGGAGGACCCTGTCTCCCTGCTTCCCAGCTTCCCCGACACCCCACCCCCCAACCAAGAGGGCTAGTTTAGCCTTGGTAGATAATGGTAAGTTCCCATTTAAAAGTCAG